TCCACTAAAATTGTAATTGGTTGTTAAATATGTTTTTGATACTCTATTATTTAACATTCCGAATCTAGCACTAGCATCTAGTATTCCCAAAAAACAAAAATTACTTTCTGATTGAGATAATGCTTTTACTTCATGATAACGGTTAAGAGCTTCTTGTATATTAATGATCGTAATACAATGCTTTTGACAACATGGATTTTTTAATTTTTTTAAATATGCCTCATCATCATATTTTTCTAATTTTTTGAAGATTTTTTTTCTTTTTTAATAGATGCTTGTATTGGTTTGAGGGTATAAATTTTTTTGAATTTATCAATTTGTCTTAAAGTAAAAACGTCATTTACATTATTTTCATGGCCTTCTTCAGATATTATATTATCATTTACATCATCTTCCTAACTTTCAGATAATATATTTTTGCTCCTATTACCTATACCATAATTATTGTCATTGTCACTATCACAATCACTATCACTATCATCCTTTAAATTATTCATTTGATAAACTTCATAAAGTTCATTTAGTTCATCATTTAAAGTTTCTAATTCGCTATGCGTTTCTAAAAAGATACTATCAAATAGAAAATTTTTAATCTTAGACATTGATACTTATAGCAAAAAAGAAAAACAAAAGTCAAAATGTGCAAAATATTATAAACCATTTATATACTATAAAACCGAAATTAAGGAGCACCTGCGTGTTATCTTGATCATTAGCAAATGCATACGTATGTATGTATATATGTACAGTACATATCTGATATGTATATACACCTATCATTATATCTAATATGTGTTATTTCAAGATAATATCAATAACAGACAGCTAATTCATTCTATATAGAAAAATGATGAGTAATGTACGAACCTGTTATAATTAAAATCTGAACATACTATATCTATATGCACTCCATTTACGTTCACTTGAACTTAATCAACTAAGTTGTCTTCTGCCTTTTTAGTATGCTCCAACATTTTATCATTAAGGTTCCTTCTAAACTCTGATGATCAGTCTGACTTCTAAACAAATTTCCATTCATTAGTATGTAGCTTCTTATCTTCAGTAAACAGCTTTTAATATCAATCTTATTCTGTACATTTTATTTTACTAACTTAGTTCACCATTTAGAACACCATAATGTTATACGTACTGTATTGTGAAATGATTGCTAGATTATGATTCACATCGTCTTTTCTAACCTTAGATATCTGATATTATAAAAATTAATAAAATAAAATAAAATAAAATTAATTAAAAAATAAAAAAATCGTACCGTCTACCCTAAACCTAACAAGTGTTCAGCATTTATATTATTTGAATAATAGACTTGACCTCTTATTCAAATATTTAACAACTTGCACTATATGTCTAATATTCTTTTTCTATTACCGGTAACTGGTTGTACTAACTAAATATGCAATTCCATTTCGTGATTTCAGGTATCTTTTTTCTTTTGCTTTGTACCTTACTTGATTAATACTAATGTTCTCTTCGTTCTTATTTCCAACTTTGTTACAAATTTTACTATGGAATGATAAAAACGGTTATTCAGTCACAGGAAGGTTTTTATGTTTCCTTTGTTTTTTTTTTTTTTTTACTTATATTATGCTAAAACAATGTTCTTTCGCTTCCTTTCATGTTACATCTATTTCTATTCTACAAATATGAACTGCCACTTGGCACCTTGATCATTTAAATTTCAACGGGAAAGACCTTTGTCTAACTCAGATCCTTTGCATTGCGGCATTACCAGAACCCGTTACTGATCTAGGTTTCTATGTGCCTTTACTCTTACTTGGCTTATATTACTAGTGCATCGTTTGGATTCGTCCAAGTATGAATCTTCGCCCTACGGTTCTCTTAAGCACAGAACAAAACTTTATTAAAATGCTGATCGTGTACAAATATTACCCTACATACATTAGACTTTTAAGCATGTTACGATCATGATAAGATCATATTACACGATAACCCAGTGCTATAAGTTTCCAAGGTTGATCATTTACATTTCCGGAATGATCTCTGAACTGCAATCTTTGTGCAACTATAAAGCACAAACTTCAATATCTTAAAATTTTATTATGCCAATCAAAATTCATTATTAATTAAAAAATGATCAGCATATTGAATTCTATTATTTTATTAAAAAATCTCAATTTTGAAAAATTTTTGATTTGCTTGGTTTCTGTTGACTTAACCTTATATAGTTATATTTTTATATGATATCTAGCAAAAAATACTAAGATCAGAAAAATATTTAAGAAAATTTATTTGGATTAAAGAAAAAAAATTGAACTTATTAAAATACATTCAGGAAACACTGTTAAGAAAATTAAAGAATTTTTTTAAACAAAACATTTAATTGATTTGACAAATAGATTAATTTAAATTAAATATTATTGTTTTATTAATTTGTATTTATTATACTTATATTTGCTATATATAATATTACCACTTTGAAGACTAAAAGAATTAACAAATGCTTTTTGTGAACTATTATTCATTAGATATCTAAATAATAGTAAATCCAATTAACATCCATTGCATTCATTGAACAATCAATTAAAAAAAATTTATTAACAGTTGCTACTTTTTATTAAATTCATTAAAGTTAGGCGAGACCAATTTGATTTGGTGGTTTACAATATATCACTAACAAAAATAAAAAAAACATGATTTTTCTTGTGTTTTACCAGTTTTGTAAAATTCTTTTTATTATCCAAAAGATAAACAAAAATGAAATACATTGATTACTAAATTTATAATAAATTCATTGGATACCTATTAGATATAATATGAAATTATTGATTATTTCAGTAATCCAATTTGTATATTGGAACACAAAATCAAATATTAATCTATTAAGCCAGAAAATAAAGAATTAATTCTCTGATTAAATAAATTTCAAGAAAATCTAATTATACATACCCTCCAATTGTCATTAAAAAAAAGAAAATAAAAAACAATAAAAATATTTCTTTTCTTTGAGCGTCAAATTTATTGTTTAATTTATTGATTCTCTCTAGAATTTGGCAAAATCCTTCGTTAGGGGTATGCTTTTTAAGTCCAAAATATACTGAGACAGTTGTGTTGATATGGGCAAATCATGTGAGTAAAATATTTTTATTTAAATTTGCGAGTTAAAGCATGTTTCGAAAATGTGTCATCATCTATTACATA